TAAGTATATATTACTTTTGAATGCAAAATATATGAGTGTGTATATTTATGAAAAAAGGTGCTTCCTTTGTCATCTTTCTTTTTTTTTTGGTAGATATGGTGCTGCCCTCTTCTGACAAAGACAGAAATAGCAGGCTCCCTGTATACCCATCAGTATTTTATTTTATTTTTAAACACTTTTTTATTGAGTTATAGTCATTATCCCATCAGTATTTTAAATTATCATCTTTAAAAAAAAGAAACAGAAATGCTTTAAAAAATGAAACAGAAATTTTTTCAACTGTATTTATTAATATTAGTAAATCCACAAAACTTAATTTGACCAGGAAATTTAGTGATTTCCCATAACAGCTTTTCTTTTCCCATATTGACTAGCTTTTCTTACTCTCTATATACATAAAGTCAATGGTAAAGTTACAATAAATCTTTCTTAGATATCCTATATGACACATGGGAAATAATGCAAGCCAAGAAAGATTTCCAAAAAATTTAAAACCTATATTCCTAAAGGCATATTAAACACGTTCTATATTATTTTTGTAGGACTTTTAAACCATTAAAGGTTTGCCATCAGTGCTCTACTACCTTCTACTGGGCAACTCATAGTTACCAGTGTGACTTCTGGCAGCAAAATACATTCTTAATCCACAAATTCGCATAATTAAGATTTATTTAATGGATCCCAAAAATGATTATAAGGGCAAAGGGTGTCTTTGCAAAGAATTCTGACAGATCTTGCTTAAGTGATCTGACTCATCACCACCAAGATTGGGTGTTAATGGTGTGATGCACTGAGAAGGACAAACATCAATGTACTTTTGTCTAGGGTGATTAATGTGAAGCTAACCATGAGGAAACAATACAACAACCTAAAATGAGAGACATTCTGCAACACAGATGGACTCTTAAGACTAAAGGCAGAATGTAATCTTAGAGTAGACGTTGGACCAAACAAGAAATACAGTTATTAAGAACATTATTGGAATAACTAGGGAAAAATTTGAGTAGAATTGTGCATATATCTACCAAAAATGTGGGCTGCAAAACCACCTGTTACTGGTCTAAGATAGGTACAAAAATTTTGAGTAAGTACTCAGAAACTTGCTTAGCAACTGGACAATGTCATAATATTCAAGACAGGATCAACAGACTCACTGCATTAAACAGAATATAGACCAATTCAGGTACTGTTAAACTTGGAAGGTAGTCATATGTGATATTAGTGTATTAGTCATGTGCAGTAAGACCACATTACCGCGTTTATCAAATAAAATCCAAAAGTGTGATGAAATATAAGCATTTCTTTTTATAAATTGTTATTTTTACAATTATTTTAATTGTTAACCAAGCATGACTTTTAAAAGTGACAATTTAAATTAACAACTAAATTAATAAAGTAAAATTCTTATTTTTTTTAAATCCTAATTTACTGATGGCAAAACAAGCCATACTGGATGCTCCTGTAAGAAAATACATCTCTGAATGCAGCAGTAATGGTAAACCACATGATGATAATGGAAATGATTTAAAGAAATGAAGGACAGTCAAGGTCAAACTGCTTTGACTCTATGAGCTTGGTTTTTGATCACACAGCACTGAAACCACAGTGAGTTCTTTGCAGATATGTTTTGGCTAATAAGGCAATAAATCCATCAAAACTTCTGCAGCATTTACATATAAAACATGAAGAAGTTCAAAATCAAAAGAATTACTTGAAAGAAAGAGTACTGAACTAAAAAATGAATAGAAACAGATGCAAAATTCCATACATTAGCATTGCGGCCTTCTGAGAAAAGCACTTTTCGTTGCTAACTAAAAAAAAATACCATTCCCAAGGTATTAGTAAAAGACTGTATCAAACATGTTTGCTTGAAAATCTTGATGAATCTGTGACAAAGAAGATGGCTCAAGTACAACTTTCCAATGACACCACGCTTGAAGCACTCAGGATCTGGATTTAACAGAGAAACTGTAACTATAACTAAGTTAGGAAAATGTTCGTTCAATGCAATTTGAAGAATGACAGCTTATTGCTAGCATGAAAATTATTTTAGTATATGTGGTTTAAACATGAGGGTGACATAAATTCTTTTTATCAGTTTCTTGCTGACAAACATAACTGGCACTGATCTGTGTAATAAAAGTAGGATCACACTGTCAACAAATGAGATTTGAAGGTTAACTGTTTGGAAGAATATGTTCCAATGGCACAGATGAAGGACAGAGAAAACACTTTAGATTAAGGAGTTTCTGCTAGAACATAAATTAACATACAGCTTTCTTTCTTGAGAAAAATCTTAGTACCAAAAAAAAAAAATCGCTGTTCTTAGTACAGTAGTAAAAATTGTGAATTACGTAAAGCTAATGCATTAAAATTTTAAATGACTCTCTTTATAAGTGATAAAGTTGATCATAAATGTGCATATGTTATAATGCACACTGAGGTACAATGATTTTGAAAAAGAAAAGTGCCTTGGGAATGATGAACTAGAATAAACTTTAAAGCTCTCAATTAGACAGTAGAACAGGCTTATTTGTCTGATACTTTTGACATTTTTAATAATCTTAGTACTTCCATTTGAGGAAGTAATTCAACTATTTTTCAGAAGCAAATAAATGGGAGTAAAAATGAAAGTCAGAAGCCTGAAGAAGAGTCCCTACAGGTTAACATGTTTCAAAGAATGTTATGAGTTACATTTTCTATGAAAAAATACCCATACATAGGAAATTTATGCATCTAGAATTCCTTTTCTCCACTGAAATACAGCTTGAATTTAATTATAACTTGACAGAATCAATTACTGGAACTGCTACTGATGAAGCACTGAAGATGAACCTTGAAAATACAGTTATCACTAATAATTTCACAAGGTATATCAGTCAAATCATTATGCTGTACACCTTAAACTTATACAGTGCTGTATGTCCATTATTCCTCAACAAAACTGGGAGAAAAGAAGAAAACAAGTAAGTTATTATTGGCTTTGTTTGGATAAAAGTAAAAATGAAAATCTTGAACTTAATGAAATTGCTTTAAAATCTATACTTCCACCCTCATTAATTTCACATTAATGCAGACAATTATCTAAACTATCTGTGGTAAAGGACCTTGATTTAAAACTTTCAAAAACTTTTATAAAACACAATAAAAAGGAATTATTAGGGGGAGGCTATGGCTCAGTGGCAGAGTGCCGGCTTAGCATGTACAAGGTCTTGGGTTCAATCTCCAGAATCTCCACTGAAAAACTAATATATAAAAATAAATAAACCTATTTAACCCCTCCTCTTCAAATAACAAAAATCTGGGGGGGGTGGGAATTATTAGAAAAATTAATTAAAGAGAGGTACAAAATACAGCCCTGTGAGTTGGGTTTCTATGATGTGTTATTAAAAAAAAATGAAAAAGAAGAGACATGGAAATAATTTACATACACACTATGCTCCAGGAGTAGTGCCGTCACCAATTCAACTTAGATAAATTAACAAGAAAGAAGACACTTGATGCATTAAAAACTTTAAAAATTAATACAAACGGTGCCTGTTCAAAGTGTGTGTCTAGATGTTAAGTACTGAGAACTGATATTTTAGTTTTTTGCTTCAATTATACAATAAAAAGGAATAACTATCAGTCACTTATACTCACACTTTCAATTATCAACATGCAGAGTCACAGAATTTCTTTCCTTTTTCTATTTTATGTTCATTTTGGCTATATTTACTGAAATGTAATTTTATGTTTGTCTATTGAATGTTATTGTTAAAAGTCTGAGGTTGTATTTTGTACCTCTTTTTAATTTACTTTTCCAATAATTCCTTTTTAGCATGTTTTACAAAAGTGTTAGTCTGTAACAGGTTGAAAATTTTAAATCAGGGTTCTTCAGTATAGACAGTTTAGACAATAATCTGCATAAATGTGAAATTTACTGGATGTGAGAATTATATTGTGCCAGGAAGGAGAATATCCCTGTTCTTAGGAAACAGTGATGAAGTATTTAACAGTGAAGTGTCATGATGTCTAATGGTTCAGCCAAAAAAAAATATACAGATACAGATGGTGGAGAGGTAAAACATTTACAAGTGGTGAATCTGTATGACAAGTATATGGGTGTTCAATATAATATTACTTTTGCAACATTTAAGTGTAAAATTTTTCAGAAGAAAAAGTTGGGGGGAAATTTTTTTAATTAATAAAAAGTTTTGATCCACATCATTTATAAAATTAACAATGCCAAATTCTTTTTTCCAAGATGTGTTTTCATTAAATGAAACAACTGTTGGAAACTAAGTATAATTTTTAAAAAATCAATTTTAGGGGAAATTATCTTTACAGAGAGCATATAGGTCTAATTAATTACTATCAAAGAAAATAAATGTGTCCACCCATAAAATTACTGGTTGGCAGGTACTTCATCTATTTTCACCTACCTCTAAATAACAGATCTGCTGTTTTCACATTAAAAAAATACTAAATAAATGGGGAAGAGGAAATTCTAGGCATGTAGCTCTTATCTACAACAGCCAAGAGATTAAGCCCTTACTCTTTTTCTAAACCAGTAACAAACCTTGTAACACGATCAATTAAAAAATAATATGAAGATTAAGAAATAATTTCAGAATCAAATTTCTCTCCTAGTACTTTCAATTCTCACCTGATTTCAAAGGTTCACTGGGGCTCATACTTCAAAGTTAGGGAAAGTAATAAAGGGAGAAATGACTTACCCAAAGTCACAAAACATGGTAACGAGTGAGTGGAACCAAATACTTAACTCTTACATTTTCCTGTTTCTGTTCAGCCAACCACTCCATACCCGCAAACTACATTACCATATGTGAAAGGACCGTTCTCACATTCCCTGAGAATTCTGGAGCCACTGTTTTCCTTATATTTGAAAATATAACTCTTCCAAAATATTAAGATGGGTTGGAATGAGGACAGACACCATTTAGAAAGAGGCTCCTTTTTAAGAGAACTAGTTTCAAAGTTTGTGAATGTTATCTTACCTGACTTCTTCACCAGCAAAATCAAACACCTTGGTGATTTTAACTTTTTCTGTTTCTTTAGGTTTTTCTAGCTCTTCTGCTTCGACCAACAATTTACTTGAACCTGTTTCTTCAGTCTCCTCTTCTCTCTATGAAAAGAGAAGTGTAATCAGTTTTATATAAGGATGAAACCTAAAAGAACCATCCAAACATGCTGTCTACAACTATTCTTAAACGTTTCATCTCTCTAAACAGTTAGACTTATTGGAAATGTATTTGATTAGAACGGCCTATTTTTCCTACCATACAGAATGTTTTACTTTACACTTAATAGAGTTACTGTCAAAAGGCATTTAGCCTGATTTCTGCTTATAAGCTTCAAATATCAGTTTGTAAATTAAAAAACAAATTTATCTGCCGAACTCTGGGTATTTCTGAGGACGCATTCGTCCCATTCATCTATCAACTTACTTTAACTTGTGTACTCGGAGGCACTTTTGATTTTGGTCCCACATCATTGAGGAAACTGGCCCACAGTTCATCCTCCTTTTTTTTCCTTGCATCTTCTGCCCCAATGCCTTTTTCCTGTTCTGCAGCTGCGTCTTCCTCCTCACTGCTACTTCCTCCAGATTCCTCATTGGCATCCTCCTCTTCTTCCTCTAATGAGAGGCCTTGTTTTCTCTTCCTAATCACCAACAGTCCCAGGAAAAGGAAAGACAGGACAGACAATGCAAAATGATTCAGTTACCCCTTCCTATATTCCAAATATAATGCTGTAAACCTGAGAAAGCTTTTAAATCTGAGGACTACTGATTAACATGCACAATGAGGGGATTGGGGAAGCTGAGATTTTGCAGAAGAAAAAAAGAACTGAGCTTTTACAGTTAGTATTTTCCCAAAACACATAAGACTCAAAACACAGTGTTCTACTTCTAAGTTAGGATCAGCTATTTTCACTGAGAAAATACCCCAAATCACCTCACAGAATCAATCTGTTCAAAAAGTGTTCTAAGAACATATACATGCCAGATATTTTTGACTTTTTAAAAGTTACTCCATTTGGAGAACAGAGATTGAGGTAAGCCTCAAATTTATTCACAGTTTCTTCCTAGAGTTCTCAGGGCAGGAAGGCGGGGGGAAATCCATGTTTCTTTCCACGTTCTGAAGATACGAAAGCTGAAATACAGGAAAACTCAAAGACAAAACAACTGGGTCTAAAACTTTTATGAGTAAATTGTTTCTTAAGACTACTCTGACTACACATGAATCATCTAATACCTACAATTCTTTTTCAACAATCTGCTTTTTGCTTCAATGCCCAGGAAGACAGAAACATCAGTCAAAGAGAATAAAAGACTTCTATGAAAGATTCCTTTATCTGTTTAAATAACTTGTCAGAATTTTCCTAATTTTTGATGGGAGTGCAATTTAGGAACAGGCTTACGGAAAGTAATTTGCCAATATCTATAAATTTTTTTTACTGCATGTAACTCTGGGTCAAACAATTCTACAGATTTGATTTACAAATATACATGTGTACAAAGACACATACACTGCAGTCTTATGGGACAATCTAAATGTCTTTCAATAATATAATGCTTAAAGTAAGATCTAGCCATATAATTTAACACTATGCAGTCAGTGAAAAGAAAAAGGTATAGTTAAATATACTGCCATGGTATCATCTCTAAGATGTGAAATAAGGAAAGTGAGAACCGAAATGCAGAGTTTGCTACTATTTCTTTTTTAAGAAAGTAAGAAATACATACATACACAGAATTATCTCTGGTAACATAGTTCTTCTGAGATAAAGCAGGAAAGGCTAGGGACAGGGTACATACTTTTTGCAGTAACTGAGTTTTTCCTTTTAAACCATGTGCATATTATCTATTAATTTGTTTTAATTAAAGCTCAAAAAATTTTAAAGCTTGCCAGACAGTAAGAATTTAATGTAAAATGTCACCAAATATTTCCCTCAATGAGAAAAAGGTTAGAAACCCTGGCAGTAAGAAATCATGAGATCAATCCCAGCAAACTGGATGAGAACAGCTCCTGACTTCTAAGGGCCTTGAGGGCAGTATCACCTGGCCGGAATGCTCTGAGCCTTTCTTTTTTTCCCTTTGGTTTTCTGTGTCTGCTCTTCACCATCCACTTCATCTTCCTTCACTAATTCATTTACATCATCTTCACTATACTCTCCACCTGAAATCACATAACAGGGTGGTCAGACAGACAGAAATAAAGGTTTTCACATCAAGATGAGACATTTTCATTAAGAAAAAGGTCTAGTACTTTCCACTGTTCTTCAGCTAACTAAAATATCATTTCCCTAGGGAAGTTTTTCCCTGTTCCTGAAGACTGGGCTACGTTCTCCTATTCTAGGCCTCCATGGCAGTCCATATTTCCCTCCACAACTCAAATCCATTTATAATGTTTACAATTTCTGCTATGCTCTATATACCATGAAGACATGGATCCCTATGTCTTTAGAAGTATTTGCTGAACAAACAAATAAATGAATAAAGAGAAATTCCAAATCTACTACTGCACTTTTCAAAGAAAAAACTGATGTTCCCACCTCACCTTGGATATCACTGAAAAGTAAGCAAAAGATACATTGTCTCATCAATAAGAGAGGTTTAGAATGAGGCGTAAAGACTTCCAGTTAAACACAGCAGAAAAACAAACGCGTCTACTTCCCACCTTCAGACAGTCAGGGGTCCCCAATAAATGTGTAGCCCGGATGCCCAGTCTGGCCACATCCTGTGCGTACCAGTCAATAAACCTTCTACACATGAAGATTCAACCAGCTTTTTTCTTTTTTACTTCCTATAAGCTTTTGTTTGAAGTATAACATACCAAAAAGCACACAAATCTAATATACAGGTTAATGAAATTATGCAGAGAACACACTTGTATAACTAGGACCCAACTGAAGCAGCAGAACATGACCAGCATCGCAGAAGGCCTCCTGTTCCCCTTTCCAGTCACAAGCCACTGCCCACATCCCAAAGGTAACCACTAACCTGAATTCTAAAGTCATAAATTAGTTTTATCTGTTTTTGAGCCTTATACAGAAGCCTTAGAGTATACACTCTTGTGTTTGGCTTCTTTCACTCCACATTCTATTTGTAAGAGTCGCCCAATTCGCTGCATATAACTGCAGTTTATTCATCCGCGTCCTTAAATTAATATTTCATTGTATGACTAGACCATCATTTATTTATCCATTATTCTGTTGATGGACATTTAGTTTGGGGCCATTGTAAATAGTACTGTTTTGAATATTCCTGCCCATCCAATTAGGTTTTAAATATTTCAGTCACAATGAACTCAGGACCACCAAACACTTAAGGAAAGTCTTCAATATGAAAGGCAAGACTGAAAACAAACAAAAAGGAATTCAGAGGAAACAAAATTAGAGGAAAAAAAAACCTCAAAAACTTTAAAAAAAATTCATAATATCCTCAAAGAGGCATCCACAAGATAAGGATAAGATGACAAAAAAAATTTCAGAAAATTAAAAAAATAAGTAACTAGAAAACTCTTAAAAATTACAAATATAGTAGAGACAGGAAAAAAGAACAAAGATGATGAGAATGAGCCAGCCATAAAAAAATCTGAAGAATAAGCATTTGAGGCCAGAGGAACAGTAAATATAAGAGTTCTAAAATGGAAACAAATATGGTATCTAAGTGATAAATGAAAGTGTTTAATGAAGAGTCTAAACACACGTAATTTTGCTTCCTCCTGAAATGCCAGTAAAACCACTACAGCAAAAGACAAACCCAGCTGCACTATATTTGTTTTTGTAGAACTAGAAGGAATAACAAAAAACTAATGAAAACTGCTATCTAAAAGGGTCAAGGTAGAACAGGATGGGGTAGAAGGGATAAAAGCAAAAGCTCTCTGTTTATCTGCAGAATTCTGAAAATCCCTTAAGAATGGCTTAAACAAACAAATAAACATAACCAAAATAACACAACCCACAAAGAAAGGATTTACTCTAAGGAGTTTAGAAATGGTATTCTGACTGTACATCCTTAGCAAGACGCATTCTAAAGACAAAAAAGTTCTATTCCTAGTAGTGACAGCTGTTTGGTATTCTGAACTGATTTCCTTCGTATTACAGGTAAAAGCCAGTAAGTAGTTATGCTAATCATGTTAGGAATCCAGATCTTCAGGTAAGAGAAATGACACACAATTATAAAATCAAAGAAATTAAGTGAAGACGAATGTTAGAAGTGAATTTAAAGTATGAATATATACTCTCTTTTTAAGATAAATATTTTCTAACTCTGTTCAATGAAATGGCACAGAAGCAATGTCACTTTAGTAGCAATAAGCATTTCTTTAAAATTTGGATTATATTCTTTAATATGATTCATCACAAAATGGGCTCCCTGAAAATCCCAGCTAAATTCAGGTCTGAGGAAAGGAAAGCATAGGTGGAACAGGGACATTTTACTATCCCAGAAAGCAAGAAGTTATTTAAGAATAACGGGTCCTGTTAAAAGGATATAAGATCCAGCTTGAAAGAACCCTTAGTGACCAGACCATTAAAAGGAATAACTGTTAGAATAAAACACACTGAAGAATCTACAAAAATCTGTGAGCCCTTATGATACTAAAAAAAGGCAGAAAAAATAACTTGTACTATTTTAAGCTACTATTAAGATCACTTCCTGTTTTGAAAATTGGTAATTAAGGGAAATGATATAAACATTTATCCTGCCCCAACTGATGAGGGAAAGCTATACTTTATAGAAAAACATCAATAAATGTAGAAGAACCACAAAATTAGAAAAACATGACTCCCACACTCTATTGATAGTAGCAATTTAGGCAAGGAATATCAAGTAATGTTTAAAAAAAATTTAGTTTCCATCATTAAATATATTACCACATAGAATACTTACCAGTTTCAAAGGAAAAAATAATTACACAATAGAGGGATCAAACTTATATCCTGATCCAGCAGTCACAAGTACGGGAGTCAACCAGGTATTGTGTTTCCTAATGTTATGCATTATGAAACATACAAGTCGTCTATAATTTATTCTAGCCAAAATTATTTCATTTGAACCCATCAAGCTCTAACTTCCAATTTACAGAAAATTCAAGGGACAAAAGAACAGCCTAAAGCTATACTGTGAGGGAGCAACCAGACAAAACCAGAAGGTGAGACATTCTGCAAGACATATGGCTTGATCTCTTAAACCAATCTGTCACAGAAAGGGAGTGTGCCAGATTAAAACAGATTTAAGGGAGGGAACAGAGAGGTGACGCATGAAGTCCTGAACTCAACTGTGACTTAGACAAATAAGCTATAGCCATTTCTGGTGGGCAGGGAAAATGTGAATGTGGTTTGTATATTAGGTAAGTTTAACGTTTTACTGAAATGGATAAGGAGAGATTGTTATATCTCTCTGAAAAGAGCAGGTTATAAAGTAACATGAAAAAGGTGTGATTTCAGGTTGGGGAAAAATACAAATAGCCACACCTGGGTGTAGGAAAAAGATCAGAGTGGGTTTCACTAAGGGATTAATGCTGATTATCTCTGGGTGATGAGAATATAATGATTCTAAATTCTGTGTCTCTTATCTGTATTTTCTAATTTTCTACAAAGTTCATGTACTGCTTTTGTAACAATATAAAGCTATTTTTCATCATAAAAATGGGTGCATGTTGCAGACAATTCAGACAAGGAGACACAAATAGCTCTGGATCTTAAACATGAGAAAGATGCTCAATTCCACTGATAAGAAAAAAGCAAATTTTAAACCACACAAACAACAAAAATGATTAAATTCCGAGCAGTTACTACAAGAGAGTAAGAAGCAGAATAACATCCCTATAGATAACAAAGCACAAAATGCACAAATCTTTTTTCATTGAACTATAGTTGACTTACAATATCATACTAGTTTCAGATGTACAGCATAGTGATTCAGTATTTTCACAGAAAATGAGCAAATCTTGTTCAAAGACAGAGCTTCCATCACCCTTTCAGTTCTCTATGCTTAAAATAAGAAGCAAACAACTAAGAATCACCAAAAATCTGATAAAGTGTCTAACATAATAAAGGCCAAAACAAACTTACAAGGTGAATAAAAATCACCTTGGAGGAAACAGACATTGTTTCCTCATTTTATCAGGCTAGCATTGTTTGATACCAAAATCAGACAAGGAAATTACAAGAAAAATATAGACCAACATTCCTCAAAAACAGATGCAAAAATCCTCAACAAAGTTTGGCAAACCAAATTCAGCACTGTAGAAGGGTAATACAACACAACCAAGTGAGTTTTATCTCAGAAATAAAAGGCTGTTCTTGGGGGGGTGGTACAGCTCAGTGGAAGAGCACATGCTTAGCATGCATGAGGTACTGGGTTCAATCCCCAGTACCTCTAATAAAAAGAACAGGGCTGGTGGTGGGGAGAAGGGACAGACTGGGATTTCAAAATGTAGAATAGGTAAACAAGATTGTAGTGTGTAGCACAGGGAAATATATATAGGATCTTGTGGTGGCTCACAGTGAAAAAGAATGTGACAATGAATGCATGTATGTTCATGTATAAATGAAAAATTGTGCTCTACACTGGAGTTTGAGACAACATTGTAAAATGACTATAACTCAATTAAAAAAATGTTAAAAAAAAGAATAGGGCTGTTCAAAACTTTCAAATCTGTCACTGTAATTCATCACACTAGCAGACAAAAGGAGAAAAAACCACACAATCAACAGATGGAGAAAAAGCATTTGACCAAATTTACCTCTCAGCAAATTAGGAATAAAGGGAATTTCTTTAACCTGATAAAAGGCATGAGGGGCAGTATATACTGCTGGTACCCAAATCCCAGCTCAGCTACTATCTAGCTGGGTGACTTCGGGTGCCTCAGTTTCTTCACCTGTAAAGTGGAGAGCCTAATAGCACACACTTGGTAATGTCATGTGATTGAGTTAGTAATAAGTTGGACAATGTAAAATGTTTACAACATACACAAAAGGGATCTCTGAAAAACCTATAGCTAATATTATACTAAATGGTGAAACATTGACGCTTTCTCCTTAAAAGTGGGAAAAAGGCAAGGATGTCCACTCTCACCACTTCTATTCAATATTTTATTGGAAGTCTGTATCAAGTACAATAAGGCAAGCAAAAGAAATAAAAGATATGCTTATTGGAAAATAAGAAATAAAACTGTTTTTGTATACAGACAAAATGACCCATTTTGTGGGGGGAGAGGGAAGGGAGGAGTGGCCTTGGAACTGTTAGTTCTGGTTACAAAACTCAGAGCATTTGTCAAAAATTCATAGCACAGTACAATGAAGTGTGAATTTTACCATATGTAAGTTGAAAACAGAAAAACAAAGTATTATTTATACCCATAGAGCAGTAAGACCTGCACTCTTAATACTATTTTAACAAAGTCACAAAAGTTAATCAAAATTAAAAATATTCAAGGGCCAGATTTTGATGCCTGACATTGGTCATGGGAGCTACAAGAAAACAAAGCACATGCTGCTGTCTAGTGGCTTTGGGAAGTTCCCGGTCCACGGTGTCAAGGAGCTTCAAGTGCTGCTGAAGTGCAACAAATCTTACTGTGCTGAGACTGCTCCCAGCATCTCCTCAAAGACCCCCGAAGTCATTGTGGAAAGAGCAGCCCAGCTGACCATCAGTCACCAATCCTAATCAGGCTGCACAGGAAAGAAAATGAATGGGCAGCTTATGTGCATGTCGTATTGGTGTTAATAAAACCATAAAACTCAGGGGAAAAAATATAGAAGGAGAAAAAAGAAGTCAAAGGGTTAGAAAACAGAGAATAAAAATTAGAGAGCCAGTCCAGAAGATCTAACATAAGATTCAATATTGAATAATGATTCAAAAAAATAAAATGGAGAAAATTGTCTCCCCAAATTTAAAAGTTCCAAGAGGGCCAAGCACAGTGGATAAAAAGAGACTCATTCCAAGCTGTATCATTGTGAAATATCAGAAAATATCAGGAACAAAGAGAAGACCCCAACAGCTTCCAAAGATAAACATATTTTTTACATAACTGAGTAGAAACTAGCAACAAAAGAGACAGCAGAAATACTGGAAACTTAGAAAGTAATGGAAGAATATCTTTAAAATTGAGACAGATTACCTCTCCATGCAAAAAAAAAAATTTAATAAATAAACAAATAATTTGAAAAGTAAAATAAAATTCAGATCGAGAATTATTGTAGAACACAGAATTCTATACCAAATTATCATGCCTGAGGGTCACTTGGTTATTTTTAGATAGTCAAGTTCTCAAAAAAAAGACTTTCTACTCTGCATCTTTTCTCAAGAAGTTACTTGAGGAATTTTTTCTCATTTTGGTGTGACACACTAAGAACAAAGACATCAGGAGACCCAAAAAACAGGGAACCCAAGAAAGAAGGAAGACAAATGGATAATTCAGAGTGGTGATGATGATGGAAGATCTTAGGTTTAAAAATGGTAATACCAAGTAAAACTGGACCAGGTCAGAAGGCATTTCAAAAAAGTGAAAATTCTCTAATGAATCCAAATATCTTGGGAGATGATTTAGACAATTCTGAGAGTTTATAGAGTCAAATCCGTAGTAAGTACATAGATGACTAAGCCACAACAAAAAAATCGCAATTATTAACTCCAGAGAAAACTAGTGCAGGCAAAGCAGTAACAGTATATACCGCATGGGTCAGCCATGACTGCGGTGTCCACAAAGTCATTACAGAAAAGTAAACACTTAATACTAATCTAACTCAAATTTGATATTGAAACACTAGCAAGCTGGGGAGTTGGAGAGGGTCTTAAGGTGAAAGGCTGTGTATGTTGACAGTGAAGGGAAAGACTTAAGAGGGTATTAAAATGAGACCTCACATGGATGAGTGAAGTCCACAGACAACAGAAATACCAAATTTTTTAAAAGGAAAGCAGTTGCTTCTGGGGAGGACTGACAAGGATGAGGGGTGATGGGAGCCACTCAGTTTCAAAACAAGCCTTTTAGAAAATATTTTATTATTTTTAAATAACTGCATGCAGAACTTTGATTAAAATGAAAACTAGCTTTCGAATGATCACTCTAGCCCATACCTAAAGACCAATACTGGTAGAAAAGAATGGAATCTGAGAAACGCTTTGGGAAGCTATGGTGAGTCCTAGGGAAGGTTGACAGTAGTTCTGCAGGAGTGAGACTGATACGGGAGAGATTAGAAACTAACTTTCCACGTAGACACAAAAAGAAATTAATGGCTGGCTGGACCAAAAGAGAATAAGGACAACTAATTTTTTAGGTTTTGGTTTTTCACCTGAGCGATTGTAGGGGCAGATACTTATTATAGAAGATACATAAGAGATGGGGAAGCCAGGGGAAGGTGCAGGATGGCGGAAGGGCCGGGTTCGATTCTAAAACCTTACTCAAAAACAAAACAAAACAAAAACCCCCACAAATGTCTGAGAAAAGAGCAATGGGTATATACGCTGCAAAAAGGTGAAGGGCATCATTAAGTAAACTTTCTAACGACTCGATCGCTTTTGAGGGTAGGAAGTGAAGAGATCTATCTTGGACGTGACGCTAGCTAGCAATCCCCTCGAGACAGAAGGTCTGGCGATAAGACTGCCTCTCAAGAAGATTTCAGCGACGGTTGAGTATCGGCGAACACCGACCACCGCCAGTGTCCCCAGAGGCAGGACCAGGTTTACACGCCGGTTCCCGCGCTCCGAGAGGGGGCGGCAGCCGAAGCCAGGCCACGAAGAGCGACTGCGCGAGACGTCCCCGGGGACTTGTCTTGGGCCAGCGGGGCCCTGGCGGTGCAGGTAGGCGGGCGAGGTTGCAGGGCGGGGCCGCTCGAGGCCCGCGCCACCGGGCCACCGGGCCCACGCACGCCGGGCCAAGCGCGCCTCACGTGAAGCACGGGGCGGGGCGAGCCGCCTCTCGCCTCAGGCGGAATCGCTCACCAGACGGCACGTAGTCTTCGTCCTCTTCCGAAGTGGAGAAGTCTTCAGAGTCGAATTCCTCCATGTCGCCGCCGTCCTGGGCTGACCAAGCCACAGGACCGCAACAGCTGCCCCCAACAGCGAAGCTCTAGGGAAAGACCATAGGACTGCGGCGGGGGCGGCGGCGGCGGCGGCTGGGGCGGCCCTTCGCAGCTTCTGCACATGCGCAGAGTTCTACGTGCTAGAAATGCGACACTTCCGGGCTAGTGCCTCGGGCTTTACGCTACTGCGGCAGTTGGCGGAACACAGGCTCCGTGCTGAAGCGGTGCATGCTGGAACTGGTAGTCTTCAGAGCTACCAGCAGCTTTGGTTTAATAAATATGCTTAGAAGAAATACATTTTGTCCGTGGGTATACAGTTGACCTTCATTATTCACAAGTTGGTATTTTCGGATTCGCTTACTTGTTAAAATTTATCATGAGCCCCCAAGTCAATATTCGCGGTGCTTTCTGGGGTTATTCGCGGACATGCGCAGAGAATGAAAATTTTGAGTCAACCAGTGGTGTGTTATATACCGAGGTTGTACAAGGCAGACGATCCGTTATCTTGCTTCAGCGCACGTGCTGTAAATAAATGTCCTTTTCGCAGTCTATTTAGTGTCGCATTTTTTGCATTTTTGTCCTTTTTTGTTGGTGATTTCGTTGTTTAAAATGACTCCCGAGCATAGTGCTGAAGTGCTGCCTAATATTCCTAAGCGCAAGAAGGCTGTGATGTGCCTTATGGAGAAAATACGTGTGTTAGATAAACTTCGTTCAGGCATGAGCTGTAGTGCTGTTGGCCGAGAGTTCAATGTTAATGAGTCAACAATTCGGTACATCAAGAAAAAGGAAAAGGAAATTCGCCGATCTGTACGTGAGGCTGCTCCGGAAAGCGCTAAAGTGACATCCATAGTGCGTGAGGAAGCTATGGAAAAGATGGAAAAGATGGAAAAGCGGCTCAATTTGTGGATTCGTGAGATGACAACCGATAAAAAAGGTGTGGTGGACAGCATTGTTGTGAGGGTGAAAGCCAAAGAAATTTACAGTCATGTTACCCAGGGTCAGAAAAATGTGAAACCCTTCTCGGCTATTGCTGGCTGGCTTGCACGTTTCAAAAGGAGATATGGTGTGAATAACGTTAAACTTGCCGGTGAGGCAAGTTTTGCAGATCAGGAGGCTGCGGAAGAATTTAAAAAATACTTGCTAAGTGTTATACAGGAAAAGGGATATGTGGAAGAGCAGGTCTTCAACGCTGATGAGACTGGCCTATTTTACAAGGACATGGGCAAACGAACGTATATTACGCAAATGGCCTCCAAAGCCCCTGGCTTTAAATCATTCCAAGACTATGCAACCCTGCTTTTGTGCACCAATGCCAAGGGCGACTTTAAGTGCAAACCCCTAATGATGTACAGAACTCCAGGTTCACAAGCGCTTAAAGGGAAAAGCGTGAATCATATGCCAGTCCATTGGAGGTGGAACAAAAAAGCGTGGATGACGTCTGATTGGTTCCACAGCTGCTTCATACCGGAGGTTGAATACTATCTCCAGGGCAGAAACCTGGCCTTCAAGATTTTATTAATTTTGGATAATGCCCCAGTCCATTGCTGTGAAGAACTATAAAATGCCCACCCCAACGTAGAAGTTCTTTTCATGCCCCCAAATACTATATCTCTCATTCAACCCCTGGATCAGGGCATAATAAAAGCCTTCAAGGCGCAGTATACTAGGGAGCTGTATAGCAAGGCTTTTGAGGCTCTCAAAACCAACAAGGAAACTACCATGATGGACTATTGGAAGTCAGTCACTATACGCAACGTTATTGATTATGTTGGCACAGCCTGGGACAACATCAAGCAGGCTACTATCAATAACTGTTGGGAAAATATTTGGCCAGACTGCGTGGAAAATTTCGATAGCTTTGAAGGCGTTACAGAAAGTATAAAGAACAGTGTCAAAAACATAATGCATATCGCATGGCAGATAAGTGGAGAAGGCTTTGATGACATGAGGGAAGAAGATGTGGAGGAAATTTTGGCAGAGAAAGCAATAGAACCCACCAATGAAGACCTGGACGAGATGGCAAAACAAGGCGTTGGAGTCAACGATGATGAAGACAATGGAAATCAGCCTAAGAGTCCAGGAATTGTCCCTCTGACAGCGGCCAAAATATCAGAATGGAACTCTGCCTTGGAAAAAATTTTCAATGACATGGAAGAGTGTGACCCTATGCTTGATCGCAGCCTCAAATTTAAGCGCTTAACCTCCAGTGCTTTTGCCCCCTATGCCGAGATGCTTAAAGATTCCAGGCAAAAAGCCAAGCAGACAGGGCTGACCCAAATTTTGGAGCCAGTTTGGGAGGGGAAATTGCCAACTCCATCAGCAAGTGGTGAGAGCCAAACCTCTGAGGTTGAACTGACAGATGTCAACCTGCCACCCTCTTCCTCTTCTGCAGAATGAGTTCCACCAAGCTCTCCCTTGGTTTTTGTGGGGCAAGCCAAGGTCGAGAGATTTAACCACACTGTGCACTCTGCCATCACAGAGCCCGCAGCTTCATCAACAGTAAGATTTTAGTTAATGTTTTTATAAAACTGTAAACACTTCCTCTTTCATTTTTTTTCAGGACTTTATTTGCATTACTGTACAGTATATAGTATGTGTTTATAGTACTCTATGTATTTACTGTACTTGGGTACTACATGTCTTGTGTGTGTGTGTGTGTGTGTGTGTGTGTGAGACTGAGGCGATGAGTTCAAGTAGTACAATCTCAGTATCCTGGAGTACATTACAGAAAAAGCCTCGTTGAAGTATTTCATTATAAATACTGCGTATCATTCTTTGTAAGAAGGAGATATTAAATAAGGTGTCTTTGAACAGAAACACACATAGAACAAGGTTATGTACTGATTAGTTGATAAACATGGTATGAGCAGAAACTCACAGGAACCAAACCTTGCATTTCTGCTAATTGCATGTGCATGGTGACCTTATAGACGTAACTACTGTGAACAAGAATCAACTCTATTCTAGAATTCAGACATCATCCACACCAGCCTCCCTTCAAGTTAATGCATGTGGAAGTACAACCATATATATCCTTGTCATTTTGTCAGATTAAAAAATTTAATCCAACTATGGGAGGTAGTAATCAGAAGCAAATGCAGATGAGATGTCAATGACTAACATCCTATTTGTTCAGGTTTTCAGCTGAAACTTTTCAGCAGTTGTTTCAGCTGGAAATTGCACCTTGTTGATATTCTGGACTAGACTGGGTCTGTGTTACCCAATCCTGATGTCATCTAAGTCAAGGAATAGATGAAATATGTCTTTAATTAAAAGGACATTACAGTGACTTTATGCCAGCAAACTTTTTAAAACAGCCTGATTGAGACATAGTTCACACACCACAAAATTTACCCATTTAAAGTACATAATTAAATTGTTTTAGTATATTCACAGGCTTGTGCAGCCATCACCACAATAAATTTTGGAACATTTTCATCACCCGAGAAAAGAATCCCTGACCCATTAGCCATCATTCTCCATTCCTCCCTAATCCCCAGCCTCCGGTTAATTTTTCTGTCTGTATTTTTCTGTTCTGGACATTTCATATAAATGGAATTATACAAGATATGGCCTTTTATGACTGTCTTCTTTCACTTAGCACGTTTTCAAAGTTCATTTCTCTTAGGTATATACCTCTGGAATTGCTGGATCATGTCAGAACTCTGTGCTTTACCTTTTGAGGAATTGCCAAACTGTTTCCCAAAGCAGCTGCACCATTTTATACCCTCACCAGCAGTGATTTCTCCACACCTTTGTCAACACTCTTATCTTTTTGATTATTGTCATGCTAGTGGGGGTGAAATGGCATTTCATTGTAGTTTTGATTTGCACTTCCCTGATGACTAATGATGTTAAGCATCTTTTCGTGTCTTTATCCATCATGGTATATGTTCTTTGGAAAAATGTCTACTCAAATCCTTTACCCATTTTAAAATTGGGTCTTTCTATTGAGTTGTTAAGAGTTCTTTATATATTCTAAACACTACTCTCTTATAAAATATATGACTTGAAAATATTTCCTCCTATTCTCTGGATGTCTTTTCACTTTCTTGATGACATCTTTTTTTCTTTTGAGACTAGTAAAGGAGTTAATTAGGTTACACTGACAAAGACAACAGTGTGCCACACAGACCAGAGGTGCCTGTGTGAGTTGATGGCATCCTTTGAAGCATAAAAATGTTTAATTGGGATGAAGTTCAATTTATCTATTTTTTGTTTCATGTCCCTTGTGTTTTGGGGGTTGTAACTAAGAAGGTTTTGCCTACCCCAAGACCACAAAACTTACTCCTGTTTTCTTCTAAGAGTTTTATAGTTTTAGTTCTTACATTTAGGTCAATGACTCATTTCAGTAAATCTTTCTTATATGAGAATAATAGACAAATAGATGTGAAATTAGGACCCAATATCTGGAAGTTCACCATTCTCAGCCTCATTTTCCTTGGACAGTGTAAATGAACCCAGCAGTGACAAACTGGGATGTGGCCTTTTGCCCCATCCCTGGGGTCTGAGTCTGGGGAAAGATACACTGGAGTTCTTCAGCAGACTCTCCTCCAGCATCACCCCACTTTCCCGTCTCCTCTTTAAGCTCACTAGCACTCTATACATTTGTTCAAATTCACAAACATAGTTCTGACCACTTTAAGGGTAACCAGGGAACTATTTTGTACTGTGCCAAGTAGTTTAGTAAAGAGATCAAAAATTGGTTAGCAGGGCAAATCCAGCTCAAAAACATGCATTGTTTGACCTGAAAAGCATTTTATATGACTTTAAATTAGTTGCCAGTTGTGATATTATGATTTTGAAGAGATACATATTTGATCATTAGATAACCAAAATATATTTCTCATATATATTTGGTCTTCATCCACGGTTTCTGGCTCACGGCTCCCAAACCCTTGGAATTTCCTAAGTGTTGGGAGTTATAAAAGTGTCTTGTGTTATATGAATGAGGGGATTTTTAGAAGTACCTAAGGATGGGGGCTGGTTGCCAGGACAACCAACCATATGATTAGAGGATTGGAACTTTCAGTCCCCATAACCCTCCACAGCCCAAACACCCCTCCCCTGCCCCTGCCTCTGGGGAGAGGTGGGGGGCTGCAATGAATCAGTCCCCAGTGGCCAGTGATTCAATGAATCATATGTACATAATAAGCCACTATAAAATCCCAAAAGGACAGGGTTTGGAGAGCTTCCCAGTTAGTGAACATATGGAGATGTGGGGAGAATGGTTCTCCTGGAGGATGTATGGACGGTCCACACCCCTTCTCCATATCTTACCCTGTGCATCTCTCCTATCTGGCTGTTCCTGAGTTATATCCTTGTAATAAACCAGTGACCTAGTAAGTAAAATGTGTCTGAGTTCTGTGAGCCACTCTTGCAAATTAATTGAACCTAATTTATAGCCAGTCAGTCATAAGCACAGGTGACAACCTGAGCTTACAAATGGCACAGAGTGAGGGGTAGGATGGAGGTTCCATTCTGTAGGACTGAGTCCTTAACCTATACAATCTGATGCTATCTCTGGGTAGCGTCAGAATTGAGTTGAATTGTTGGACACCCTTCTGGTGTCTGAGAATCATTTGTTGGTGTGGAGAACAACCAATATACCAGCACTTAAAAATTGAGAGATTTAAAATCTGGGTTTTCAACTTCCTTTGAAAAACTGGAGGACCTGGCAACACTGGGTGCATAATCCCACAAAGCAGAAATAGGCTGGAACTGAGCAATGGCTTTAGACGAATCTCTGCGGTTGGCCACAATACAAATCCCAACTCCCTGCAAGATTCCTCATTCACTATTACTGTATTATCTTGGCAATAATTTACGGGGTCCTTCCTGCCAAACTCAGCATCTTAAGTCCCTCATCCACTTTGGTTATCACCTTTTTGGCAATGGAAAGTTCCTCCTCTGTTGGGTCCTGGTTACAATCTCGGGGGCTTCTGGCTGAACTCTTCATGCATCGTGTATCCCTCTGGGGTGCCAGAAATATTCTGTATCTTGATCAAAGCACTACCACTACAAATGAGTGTATAAATATGTAAAAATTCATCAAGCCATACATTTAAGATTTGTGCACTTTACTGAATATTACACTTCAATTAAAAAGAAAATTAGATTTTGCTCCCTCCTTCCTCCCTAGAGGCGGTGCTGGAGAGAGAGAGCAGAGATTTCTCAGTACTCAGTCCTAGCTCTGTCCGTGACTCACTGTATGATTGGATAAACTACCTAACCTAACTTTTCTGAGCCTTGTGTTCCTCATCTGACAAAAATGAGGGCGATACCTACCTCACAGTGTTGGTGTGAGGATGAAATAGAATATTGTTGATGAAAACTCCTTGCACAAGTCCAGACGTACACAGTAGGTGCTCAATAAATGTTAGTTTAGTTTTCCTTAAAAAAAAAGAAAATTAGAAAGAGACAGAATGGATGAGTAGTCTCTTGACAGACATTGTACACCTGTCTGCAATGCTTGGAACTGCAGCAGTCATCTTGTGACCATGAGGTAAGCTACTCAAATCGGACAATCCAATTTGCTGAATGTGGCAGAGCAGAAAAAGATTTATGATGTCACAGAGTACTAAACCAACCTTGAAGCCTTTTTCCATGTGCACTTACTATTGAAATAATACATTTTTTTCACAGACTATCAGCTTTCAGCCATGCCAGTGTGTAATCAAAAGCTTCCTGACGATAATACACAGCCCACAAAGTGGAGTTAATAAGACTCAAGTTCACATGTAAGTACGATTTAATCACATCTTTGGACAAGAATTTTACCATAAACTAGTAAGAAGCTGAACATAAAAGAAATACAGTTAAACATATATGTTAGGTACTAAGTTATAAAAAACCAAAAACTGAAGTTGGACAACTTTATTAGAAAAGATTAAACTCACTGGCCACTGAAAAAGAAATAACAGTTCCAGTTCACAGAATTGAAAGTGATTCTTTATTCATAAACATTTATACCAGAATTAGAAATATCAGTAGAAAAATAAAATTTAAATAACTTTCTATTGTACAAAGATTTGATCATTTTGACTGTAGCAGTTAGTGAGACAATCTAATACAAAAAGTTAAGCTGATTTTGGCCACAATCAGCCTAACAGAGTGCACAAAAAGGAAATGCATGTACACAGAACTTTCTGCGTGTGGACAGCCGATGGCACCAGGACTTCACATTCCAGGAAATGGTTTCTCAGGGAAGGCTGGTATGCACAGAAGTTGTAGTAAGAACTTAATTCAAAACAGAGCAGTCAGAAAGGGCATTGGAATCAAAAGCTAACATACAATTTAAAAACTTTAGAACTAACATAACAAAGGGCTTAAAGGTAATCATTTGCATGAACTTTTTCTCATCAGTTTAGACATTTCCTAAGTAATGTTTTGCTGTTTAAAAAAAAAGTGAGTTAATAGCACAAAGAGACATCTTTTATCTTGGAATATTCAGTACTCATTTATTTATATGGATTTAAGTTTTCAAGAAATGCCTTCATTCTAAAACCCCATATTAAAGAATGCAGAGATCAGCTTTTATGATTGGGTTTGCCTCTCTCTCCTCGTTAAGAAAAAAAGGAAAAGTGGATGCACAGCTGGGGGAGGGATGGTTGCATATATCTCTATGAAAGGAGGCAAAAATTCTGAAAAGCTATACATGGTAAAATAAAATGTTCAACACAAATGTCAGTATTTTTTCATCAGAGCAACCACCCCTAAATAATTGTGCATTTTAAATGAGAAATTAAAAAAAAAAACCAACAAGGGGGAATAGACATTCCTTATCATTCAAATAGCTTCTCCCTAAAAACATTTCAAGCAACAAAGCTCAAGCTATATGAAGTCTATATACATTTATTCACAGGAGAATGTTCACATACTGGGATGGATGAAACATTCAATAATTTGAAGATACATTTTATATTTGAAATTTGTAGAAAGAGTAGATAATCAACATATAGCAAACAAGAAACAGATGAAAACAAAGATACCTTTCAAAATGCGTAATATTTGTGTCTTGGCTCTAAAAGAAAAATAACCAAACATTTAAATCATGGATCAGTATGTTCAAAAATTAGTATTTGGGGGAGGAGCCCACTGCCCAGTGGCTCCATGTTAAATTTGTGAAATTCTATCCAAAGGAATGTTTTAGATGACAATGCTAAGAAGCATCTTTCAATGGAGATGATTAAAATCATTTCCTATAACAAATGTCATACACCGAAAGGCTACTTTTCAAAATCACAGCTCACTGAACTAAAAAATGGAGTCTAACTAAAGACTTAAAACCCTGCTTGAAAGAAAGATTTGAGTATTGGAGAGTAACCTTGGTGGGGAATTTGTAAAGATGTTTGCTTCCATTCCAACTCTTAGAAGTTTTCCACCTAATCTGAGTGTATGTCAATATTCTGATACGTGGACTAATGACCTATTACTTAGAAGAAAATGTTCAGTTAATTTTTGTGATCCTTTGTAATTTTTCTCTTTGACTATCCCTGGTAAACTGGTCCTCCTGGCTATTTTTAATCAGAAGCCAGAGTGCATATTGCTTTACATGGAATAGATACATTCGTGTACACACGACCTCATGGGCAGTTAAGCCTTACACTCACAATGAAGGCTTTCCTTTAAAAATGTCAGACCAAATTACCAGAAACTATTTTGAAAACAGATAATAACACTGATTGTATCCCATACAAAACAGTTTAGGTGGTAAGGATTGAATTAGAGACTTAATTTTTTACAATATTTTTTCTTTTGAAGGTCACAGTTCTCAGGCCTTTCAATGAAAAAGAGAGTGAGGCATTAGAAGAAAAATTAAAATAGCTAAAATTGGGTTTTAAAAAAACCCTGATATTTAATTTGCTTTAAGGATATAAATTCTCTTGAAGGACAATGGAAAGCACACAGTGGAAGGTATATATGCAAATAAACCTTTAGGCACTTCCTGGGAGTGATACCCAACACTGTAAAGGTAGACTGAAAACCCACCACTAGGTCACCACACTAAGACCAGGAAATCAGTAATCACTAACTCTTGTTTAAGCTGCACTTCTACAATTTTTCAAGAGCCATAAATAAACCAAAGTCACTAAGAAAAACTAACAGAATGTTTAAAGTATCATTTTGTGTGTGTGCCTCAATGTTAAGAGTGTCCTGACTAATTTGGCTTAAAATTTTCAACTTGAGCTATTTAATAGGGTATGTTTCCAATTAAACTAAATAAAATTAATAGAATAAAAGTGATAGGAAAAGGTGGTACAAGAATTATGGGGAAAAAATTCTCAATTGGCTAGCTTATTTTGATAAAATATACAAAACAACAAATTCATATCTCTTAAAATCTATTGCATAATCAGAGGTCAAGATAGTTATCCTTAAAATGTCACATCATTCAGTAGTTACCTCCTTTTTCTTTAAACAGTGGAATTGAAGCCACTACTTGAGTTACAGATTTTTTGTGTGTTTTATTTCACCGATTCTGTTCTCAACATTACACTCAACCAAAACCTACTTGGCACTTACTGTCATGAAGTCGGAGCAAGAGAAGAGTTTGCCGAATGTTAATCGAGGTTAGATCAAATAAGATTTTAGTACCGTCTATTCTGCTCAGAAATTAACCAGTATGTTCCACAGCTTCTCTGAAATATGCAACATTGCATTTTCTCACAGAATATTACAAATTTCAGTGCAAAGGATGCCAACCCAGAAGCACTGCTGACTTGGGTAAAGATGCACCTGTAAAACTGCCTGAATTAAATATGTTAAAAAAAAAAAAAAAGAAAGAAAGAACAGAAAAGAAACTTGATTTGTTTTGGTTGAGAACAATGGGTCCAAAAAGATCTTTAGTGCCTGGAGCTTCAAACTGAAGAAAGGTCTGAGCTGTTGTTCTTCATATACCTTTTCATTCACGTTGCTTCCATTTGAAGAGCTAAGAAAACACTACATTCCACAGTGTATTCTTTTTGAGGATTCTGTAAAACTTAGGTTTTTTCATCGCAGCACAAGGGTGTATGCTATAGAGTAGCTAAAATCCGTAAAAAGGAGACCACCACTACACAGAACGTCTGTCCAGTGCCCAAGGTGAGGGCCTCAAATGGTATCATTTCCTTTCCTGCTGCTCGGTACACTCCAGCAATTGCTCCACCTGTTCAGAAATCCATGAGTGTTAAAAATAAAAAATCAGGGTTAACAAACAGGAGAAAACAGCACTTAAAATTCTACTATATGTAAAATGTTCTCAATTGTTTACATTAAAATTTAAACATTACAGAAATTCCTTTTGCTGACTACTCTACATTTTAAGTATGCCTTATATGGTTGGCAAATCACTGACAAGTGTGTTTAGATGTTGAGAAGTGACTCCATCAAACAGAGTCTCCTAGATTTATGGAATAAAATCATTTGGAAGTCATAACAGAAATCACAAAGACTACAATTTCCTCATGACCTGATTACAAACTCAAAAATATCTTATTCGCCATGCATTTAATAGGTACCTAACATATGCTAGGCAGTAAAAGAATCTTTTGTGTGAGACTGAGCAAGAACTGTTTCAGGAGCAGCCACAAGGACTCCCCACTCCACCTCATCCTGTACTTGGAGTTCCCTCCAAGAAGCGGATGGAGGAGGGAGGAGGGGTGGGAAAAGGAAGAGAGGGTGGCCCTAAGCCTGTCAAGTTGCTGTTCATTCAAAGGATGAGGCAGGAGGGATACTTGGGGATTCCCTTCTATTCCTCATACCATTGTCTTTACTTTGTTAGTCACTGTAACTTCCTAGAAATTGAGTAAACAAAACAAACAGAACATCTGTCACTACCAGGTACCCTGAGTTGCTCACAGGGACTCAGTGTTGTACCAAGAAAGTCAAGATTTCATTAGTTTGAAAAGAACAAATCCAAAGTTCCCAGATGACCCTGTCCCCTGCCCAGAAAGGCTCCAAACAGAATTCTCATTGGTCACAGAATCTAGCTGGGGACACAAGACAGAAAGCACAGCATGAAACAGATTTTGAATAATGCAAGACAATATGTAGTATTTTACACAAGTTTACAAATATGATGTGATGGTATATGAACAGATTTTAAGAAGAAAGAATATTAATCAACACTTGTGCTTGCTGCCAGGAACATCTGTGACTTTGAAATGCTCACCTCCAGTGGCTGTGCGTACACACTGTGCTACTAACACCTGAAAGGCACATGTTCCATTTGCTCCAAAAAAGTGGGCTGGGGAGGAAGAAGCTTAAAAGAACTTAAACCGGGCCCCAAAGCAGGATCTGGATGATGAAGGGAAGAAAGGAAACAGCAAACCAGAAGGAGCAGCAAAATGAGAAGGGAATAGATTCTATGCACTAGAGTCTTCTTTTTATGACTTTTCAGTAAGTTTATTAGTTTGTTTCCTCTGATAGGTTACAAGACAAACACCCAGTATGTTTGAGTTTTAAAAGGATATTTTCTTTGCCCCACTTGAATGACCAATAAAGACATAATGTACTAGAGTCTTAAAGAAGGAAATGAACATAACATTTGTTGCACAGTTATTGTGTGTTAGATACTCTGTTCCGTATTTTATACACACATTATTCAGTTAATCATCGCATAGCATCCCTATTTCACTGATGAGAAATCTGAAACATCCTAGGGGACAGTAATCCAGTAAAGAAACTGGAGCAGAGGGTCTCTAAAGATAGCAGTAGGTGATAACAGTTAAAAATATTGTATAAGGCCAGTTATGGAAACTCCTTAATGCAGACAGGAAAAAACTGGCTTCTTCCTCGTGTTATCACAAAAGTTTCATCATCTATAGAATACAGAGAAACTAGGCCACCTTGTCCCCAAAAAACCCATCAAGTCAAACAGGCACAGAGAGATTTCTGCTTGAGCTCAAGGTTTAAATTCACAGCCAAAAAATTCATGTTTATACATATACCTAGAAAAAAGTCTCAAAGCATATACCAAAATGCAAACAGTGATTACCACTGAGGGATGCAGTAATGGAGGATTTTTTATTTTTGTTTTATGATTTTTAATTTGTGTAAAAGATATATGTTATTTATATTTCATTATGAGCTTAAAAATGATTTATGCTTATTCTCACCCCTGCGACATGAGCAAAAACCCTGACCTCTGCCCAAAAAACACCCAACAGGTAAAAATAATTTTTAATATAAATGTTACTAATTCATATTCAGAAAGTCCTGAAAGGCAAAAAACCAAAAACCAAACAAACAAAAGAACACAGGAATTTTTCTAAACTAGAATTCCTGTCATTAGAATTATTTTTCCATCCTTAAAATGATGGCACCTGAATGAGTGGAAGCAATTCATCAACCATCTTGTGATGCCACCAACCAGTGAAGTGAAAGCTAGAGAGAAAGGAGCAGTAGCCTCCAAAAAGACAAGTATCTTTCTCTTGCTAATGACCCATCTCACAAGATGTATCGCACAAAGCTTGATATGGTTTCCCTGAAGCCAGCGAGACAAAAATCTGGCTCAGAAAGTCAACGATGTGAGCCAAATAATGGGGGACCGGGGGTGAGAAAAAAAAAACATAAAAAAACAGGACCTGTGGTTAAAGATCACTCTTTCTTCTCTATCCCACTCAGACATGTTTCTAAAACGGTTCCTAAAATTAACTGACTAGTCATATAAAACATTTTGACTGTATTTGAATGTCTAACATACTTGTCAAGATTCCAGCAGTAATTGGTCCCACGATGCCCATCAACAGGATGCTTACAGACATGAACCTACCATATTTGTGACGTCTGAGGGTGAAGAGGGCCAGCAGTCCAGCAGGGACATGAAAGAAGAGAGAGGACACCAGTGCCCACAGGAACACACCATACCACATCTCTACAAGGGGAAGCAAAGAAAGGTCATACATCACTGCCTTTCCCAGTGCAGTCATTACAGGGGAGTGGTCATGATACCCAGTTACTTCATTTTTAAAACCAGTCATTTGCAATGGACATTCATCTGTCAAATACACAAACACTGGTGGTTTTAGGGTGATCAGTAAACTATGGCCAGCACCTGTTTTTATAGATAAAGTCTTTCTGGAACACAGCCACACCCATTCATTGAAGTCTTGTCTATGGCTGCTTTCAAGCTACAAGAGCATAGCTAACACAGCGACAGAGATCACATGGCCTGCAAAGCCTCAAATATTTACTACGTGGCCCTTTACAGAGAAAGTTGGCCAACCCCTGACAAGCTACCCAAACAAGGAAGAAAAGGTTCACCCAGATTTGAAAATTGACCTAAATAATTTCCCTCCTATAAGAAGGACAAGCTTAAGTACCACTGACAGGGTGCTACGCAGTCAACACCTGCTGACTTCCTGATTATCCAGTCATCTAAAATGGAAAAGCTCTACACATAATCACATTCCTTCAACAATCATTTACAAGACAATGCAGTAAATATCAAGCCATCGCCTCTTTTTAGGTTATCAAAGCTCTTTAAGACATGAAATAAATACTAGATTATATAAATGTTTGGCTTAAAGACAAATGGCAAGTTAGGGGGCAGGTTAGAAGAGGAGCTGGTTCCTACAGAGAACCTCTAATCACTGTTTTAAACGTTTATTTATTTACTTATTTATTTAAATGGAGGTACTGGGGATTGAACTCAGGACCTCATGCATGCTAAGCATGCACTTTACCCCTGAGCTGTACCCTCCCTGTCTATTCATGCTTAAGATGACAGTAATTCAGGCAACATTAAAATATCTGTTCAACAACCATGTATACAAAACTATGCATGAGACATCTGGGAAAATACAAAAAAGGAGGAGATACCATCCTGCCCTCGTGACTTTACAATTTAGCAAATGGCAGATGCAGCATTTTCCCCCAGTGAGCCCAGGCACAGCTTCAAAATTCTCGAGAGCTCTTTCCCCACATACGGATATAATGGTGTCACGTTAGATAAAATCTGTTGTCCACTCCTGCGCTAGAAGCAGGTACATAACAGGCAATTTTAGAGATCAGTCAGCAGCTTAACTGGGGTTTCTCAACCACAGCACTATTGACATCTGGCCCATGTAACTCTGTTGTGGGGGGCTGTCCACTGGAGGATGCTGAGGAGCACCCTGGCCTCTACCCATTAGGGCTAGTAGCACTCTCTCCCTGGTTGTGAAAACCAGAAATATCTCGACATTGTCAAATGTCCCCTGTCGGCAAAACTGCCCTGATTAAAAAACACTGACCTGACTGAAGCAGAAAGTTTATCAGAGTAACAGTAGTTAAAGTTGCAAAGGTGGACAGGGTCACATAATGGTGGGCTTTGAAGGCCAGACCAAGCACTTCAACATGAAAGCCCTAGAAGGACCATCATAGGTTTTGAACAGGAAAGGGTTGTTAGGATGCTACTTCCCAGGTGGCACCTTGGACCGCCAGTAGGAATACAAGCTAGAAACCCTTTCTGGAGGGTAAAATGCAAGTGTGTATCAAAAAAAAAAGTCAAGTGTGCACACCCTCTGCCACACTGCTTTAACGTCCAGGAATACATCCTACAGGAATACACATGAGGGCAAGGACAGGTCACGATGTTCCTGCCAGCTCTGTCTGTACTGGCAAAAACTAGATGCCAACTGCATGTCTAACTGATGCAAGACTTGTGAAACACGTTTTGGTGCAGCCACAGAATGTACATTCACAATTGATAACCATATGAGATAGCTCTTTAAATACTGTTGGGGTAAGACACCCAAGCCGCACTGGGAAGTAAGAAAAAGCGAGTTTCAGAATAATATGTAGACTAAGACCCCATTTTTGTAAAAACAAAACACAAACACGAGAAACCAATGTGTGTGTAAATAGTTCTGAGTACTCAAAGTCTGGACTTAACGCTTATTCAGTAAATATTTACAACATGCACAGGCACTGTTTTAAGTGCTTGACAAATATTAACACATGCAACCCTCTGAATAGCTCTATGAAGCACATACTACCATCTACAGCTCTTGGATGCGGAAACAGAGGCAGAAGGAGGTGAAGAAACTTGCTGGAGCCCCCACTGCCAGCACGAGGCAGAGCCCAGGGCTGACTCACGCTGGAAGCCATGCCCTCATCCCCTTTGCCTCTTCTTTGTGTACATTAACATTCAGAAAACTTATTTCTAGGGAAGAGGACAGGTTGGGAAGGGTTAATAACAATTCCCTTTGATAAAACAAACAGCTTTTTTTTTTTTTAAAGAACTGTTCAGGATGGTTGGTCGGATTGGGATGAATGATTAAAGAGAGCAGTGAGGAGAATCAGTGGGCGTGGGGAGAGCAGGCAGGGCGAAGGGGGAGGCACAGGGGCTTTTCTTGAAATTGTATTTTAGTTGTACTGCTGTATGTGGTTTTTGCCCGATCAATCTCTTATTCATGTTGGGGGGGGGGAGAGGGAGCTACAGGTTGACTAGATGTGGGGCCATATCCCCCCAAGCCACCCTTAGCATCGTCACTGATGACTGTGTCAATTCTTTGCACATATTAAGTCCAATAAAGCTTCAATTAATACCATATTCTATATACATCTAAATTAGGACGCATAGCTCTTGTTTTCAGTGAAAGGCTCTGAATTAAAGCATCAGGGGCTCCCCATCTAGGGCTCAGTGCTTTTTAAAAATAACAAATGACAAGGTGTTTGGCGCTTTTGTTCTGGTGACCAACTATCAGATAGCTACAAAAGGTTTCAGATGTCTTGTGAGATTTTTTCTTTCTGCTGAACAAAATATATCTTCAGAATAATTTTTTAATACTGTTGAAACTGGTCTATTTTGTTGGATGGTGCTTGGCAAATTGTTAAACCAAGTCTAAATCACATGATATGGAGCATAAAGTGATTAAACAGTAATGTCCCAAGCTGAAAAATTAAATGTATATAACATATATGTATAATATATAAAAAATATATAAGTATGTATACTAACTACTCCACCAAACAAACAAAAAACCTTCCCAGTCAAAGGTGTGGATCAGTAATTGTAGGCAGGATTCTCCATCCTCCATGTCTGAGTCCCCATCCTCATCGGGAACAAACCTATACTACGTACAGCTGCAGCCTCCTTTCCCACCTCAGGTACGAGCTCTTCTTGCCCACACCACCCAGGAGACTTGCCCTCTCTCCTTGGCAGAAGCTCTAGAGGCTGCAGTGTCTGGTGTCCAGATAAATGTGCACCCGCCAGAGCTTGGGCGCCCACAAATCCCTCCTGCCTAGGCAGCTGCTGTTGCATCCTGGCCTCCCCCTTCTAAGCCCTCCCCCACCCCATCTACACAACCCACTGCCAGCTTGTCCCCAAGCCACAGGACATGCAGTGCCCTACTAGAGCAGTTACCCCATCTTCAGCTCCTCAGTCCTCACCAGCTCCTCCCCAAATCACTCAAAAGACTCTGACCTCCATTACACCACCCAATGTGCAGAAAGTTCTACAAGGGCACCAGGAATGCCACTTCCGGGGTGCAGGCAAACAGGATACAACCCAGCCTCCAAGAGGTCAGACCAGTTGCCGTCCCGGCTGTGCTATCACAGGGCTTCTGCTGGAGCTCCCCAAGGTGCAGAGATAAGCTCTGTTGTCCCCCAAAACTCAAGGCACTGCTGACACACGGCTCCTTACTGGCTGCCACAGAACCACTGGGGCAGTGCACTGGGAGGTGAGGCCCTGACTACCACACACACACACACACACACACACACACACACATATACACACACTCTAAGTTGGTAACTTCTATAGGGATGAAACAGATCCTAGGGGCCAGTAATCCAGGGGCCTGGACACTCGGGTATGCTACCCAACTGCTACGGACTGAATTGGGTTCCACCAAAATTCATGCGCTGAAGCCTTAACCCGACAATGCTGTGGTCTTATAAGAAGAGGAAGACAGATCTCTTTCTCTGTTTCTCATTCTCTTTCTTTCTTTCCCGTCATGTGAGGAAATATTGAGAACGTGGCCCAGGAGGACCCTCGCCACTTCATGTCCATGTTGGCACCCTAATCTTGGACTTCCAGTCTTCACAACTGTGAGAAAATAATTTCTGTTATTTAAGCCACTCAGTCTGTGGTATTTTGTTCTAGAAGCCCTAGCAAACACTAACACTCACCTGTTCCCACTTCCTGGAGCACCTGCCCAAGGAGGCCTGCTAGGCTGCCAACCCAGCTTTTCTGAAAGCTGGAAGGCCTGTTTGCAAACAAGACCTGGCAGAGCAGGTCAGCTCCTTCCCGAGAAAGAAGCAGGCTGCACCTTCCTACAACGCTGAGTTACATCCATTAGCTACCTCAGTGCCTACATATTTTATCTAGTGTCACTTAAGTCACTCTAAGAAAGAAAAAAGGCTTTATTAGATTAGATGAGTAGTACAATTTATAAAACACTTTTCAGATGGATGGAAGTATTACAGGGCTCTAACAGCTAAGGCACACCTCAATCAATAAAACACTCTTACAAAACTAAGCGATTTCCCTTTAATCTACTGCACCTAAATTTGCCATCTATTTAATAGCTATTTATTGATCACCATATACTACTTTTCATTTCCCTGGCTCAACATATTGCCAGAAATCTCTGTCTACATATTGTGCAGTATTTTCTTATCTCCTGTTTCAAATCAAGTGCATTATCTTCAGCTTTGCTTACTTTGGCAGCTAAAGTCACATCATTTCCCCAAGTGAAGAACAAATCAGATAACTAATCTGTAATAAAAGATTATAAGGGGAAATCAGGTTAAGCACTGGTGGTAGAATAGGCCCCAAAGATGCCCACATCCTCATCCCTGGAACCCGTGATCATGTGACCTTACAAGGGCATGATCAGATTAAGGAGCTTGGGATGGGGGTGGTTATCCTGGATTTTATAGGTGGGCCTAATGGAATCAGAAGGGTCCTTGTAAGATGGAGGCAAGAGGGTCGGAGTCAGAGAGATTTGAAGATGCTCTGCTTTAAAGACAGAGGAAGGGGCTATATGCCAAAGAATGTAGGAGACCTCTAGAAGCTGGAAAAAAACAAAACCAATTCTCCTTCAGAAGGAAGGCAGCTCTGCTGATGCATTTTGGACTTCTGACCTCCAGAACTGCAGGATGATAAATATGTGTTTTTTTAAGCCTCTAAATTCATGGTAAGTTGTTTCAGTAGTGATAGCAAACTAATACAGAACTGAATTCATGCATTCAATAAATACTTTTGAGCCCATTCCATATGCCAGGCACGTCACTGAAAAACAAAAACAAAGATCAACAAAAAAGAGCCCTGCTCACAGGGCATTTGTATGTTTAAGAATCTTTGTTTCAGGGGATGGGAGGTACAGCTCAGGGGTAAAGCACATGCTTGTCATGCACGAGGTCCTGGGTTCAATCTCCAGTGCCTACATTAACGGAAGG